GGTTGCGCCCCCGGCCGCCGAGAATACAGCCGTCTCGCATGGGTTGCGCCATAAATTGCGCCCTCGGCGGCCGAGAAACACACCGTCTGCTATTGGTTGCGCCATGATTTGCGCCCCTGGCCGCTGGGAATAAAACCGTCTCCTATTGGTTGCGCCACGGGTTGCGCCTCTGGCCGCTGAGAATATCACCGTCTCTTATTGGTTGCGCCAAAGGTTGCGCCCTCGGCGGCCGAGAATTACACCGCCTGCCATTGGTTGCGCCATAGGTTGCGCCTTCGGAAGCCGAGAAAAGAGCCGCCTCCTATTGGTTGCGCCATACGTTGCGCCCTCCGCCGCCGAGAATAAAACCGACCTCTAGCGGTTGCGCCATAGGTTGCGCCCTCGGCCGCCGAGAATAGAACCGCCCCCAATTGGTCGCGCCATAGGTTGCGCTGTCGGCTGCCGAGACTACAACCGCATCCTACCGGTTGCGCCGTAAGTTGCGCCCTCGGCCGCCGAGAATAAAACCGCATTCTTTTGGTTGCGCCATCGGTTGCGCCCTCCGCCGCCGAAAATGCAACGGGCGCGCGAAGGCTGCGAGTAGTTTGTCAGCCAGTCAGTCAGTCGGAGTCTGTTACTTCGCGAGAAACAAACTCGGGCTACGCCTGAAAACATCAGCAGCATTGCCCGCAGAAGGCGTTCAGCCTTGAACGACCGCCGCCCGGCCACCGCCGCGCTCGCTAGCTCGCCGAACATTCGGGCGCGCGGGCGGGCGGGCGGGCGCAGCAGGCAGGGGGTTGGGCGAAGAAGGGGCGGGGGAAGGAAGCGGGGCGGATGGGGGGGCGGCGTGGGAAAAGGGGAAGCGCGGGGGGCGGAGGTGGAGTTTGAGGGCAGATGAAGGAGGAGTTGCGGGGGATGAGGCGGTTTCCTGCAGCTCGTCGGGGGCAGCGCCATGGTGCCTGAGTCGCCCCAGCTCTGCCGTGGCGCAAGAGACTGCCATGGGATGGGGCGTGAAGGTCTCGGACCTGAGCAGGCAGTGAAACTGCTCCGCGCGCCTAGATGGGCGGCGCAGCTGGTGGATGTCCGCTGGCGATAGTGGGAGATTGGCCATCTAGCATCGTCGTTGCAAGGGCGCGAAACCACGTCGCCCAAGCGCGCCATTTGTGCTTGGGCGAAAGTGTGGCAGTTGAGCAACCCCATAGCTTGGCCCTCGCGAAAGGGCTGGGTCCCGGGCACCAGGCTGAGGACGGCGCGGCGACAACTGCCCCCCCCCCCCCCTGCGGCACATTGGGTGGGCCAGGCGAGCGCTGGCGAACCCCTGCGCGCAATTGGAGTTCCACGCCCGGCGGGCAGGGGCAATTCCAGCCACCCTGGCATCGGAGAGCGCGCGCACTTAATTTTTTGCAGTGGTTTCTACACGACGCGGGCGATGTTGCGTCGAAAACCCAACGGTCATACTAGTAATAATAATATTTGAAGACAAAAACATGCAAAATTCCATTCTCGGATCAGAAGAAGCGATCACCCGAGGGGGGGGCGCGCGAAAACCGAATGCAGCGGAGCGCGCGTGCGCCCCTGAACTGCTGCATTGACGCCTATACAACGTGGGCGATTTTACATGGAAAGCCCAACGGTGAAAACCCCGTGAACATTTCGTTCTCAGATCAGAAGAGGCGAACATCTGAGTGCCGAATCTACGACGACCTAACACAGCTGAGCGCGCGCGCGCGCCTCTGAACTGTTCTATTGGTTTATATGCGACGTTGGCGATGTTATATGGAACACCGCGTATAAAGTTCCACTCGCAGATGAGAAGAGGCGATCATCTGAATGCGGAATGCACGAGAAGGTGACCGAATGCAGCGGAGCGCGCGAGCGCGCCGCAGCGTGCGCGTCGGCCGCCTCGTCGCGACGAGGTAGCCGACGCGCGCGCGGCGGCCCGCGAGTGCGCGCGCGCTACTTGAACTGTTGTATTGGTCTCTATCCAACGCGGGCGATGTTCCATCGAAAACCGCATGGTGAGAAAAAAAATGTAAAATTTCAGTCCCAGATGCTACTAGGCGATCGTCTGAATGTGAAATGTGCGAAAACCCCATGCAGCGGAGCGCGCGCGCCGGCCATCCCATCGCGATGAGATGGCCGACAAGCGCGCGGCGGCCGAGATCGCGCGCGCGCCCCTGATTTGTTGCGCGGGTTTCTATACACCGTGGGCCGTGTTACATCGAAAACCCAATGGTGAACATCTTTTGTAAAGCTTCATTCTTAGACCAGAAAAAGGCGAACAACTGAACGGGACATGGACGGAAACACAGCGGTAGCGGTTCGCGCGCGCGCACCGCCGCGCGCGCTGCTTTATTATTATAATTATATGTTTTTTTTTTTTTTTTTTTTTTTTTTTTTTTGGGGGGGGGGGGCGCGCGCGCGCGCTCCGCTGTGTTTTTTTTTTTTTTGCATGCTCCACATTCAGATTCTCGCCTCTTCTGTTATGAGAATGAAATTTTACAATGGGTTTTCACCATTGGGTTTGCGATGTAACATCGCCCACGTTGTATAGAAACCAATGCAACAAATCAGGGGCGCGCGCGCGATCGCGGTCCGCCGCGCGCTTGTCGGCCATCTCATCGCGATGGGATGGCCGACGCGCGCGCTGCGGCGCGCGCGCAGCCCCGCTGTCAGGTTTACGTATATTCCGCATTCAGATATTCACCGCCGGGTCTTCGACCCAGCATCGCCCACGTTGTATAGAGGCGAAAACAATTCAGAGGCGCGCGCGCGCCCCGCTAGGCTAGGTTATCGCATATTCGACGTTCAGATGTTCGCCTCTTCTGATTTGACATATAACGAAATAAGGTTTTCACCGTTGGGTTTTCGATGCGACATCGCCCGCTTTGCCTTGGAAGCAGTGCAACAGTTCAGGGGGGCGCGCGCGCGTTCCGCTTCCCATTTGGTTGTCATGCGTTCCTCATTCAGATGATCGTTTCTTCTTGTCCGGGAATGAATGTTCAAATTGGGCGTGCGCCGTCGGCTTTTGACGTGACATCGCCCGCGCTTCGGTGTAACACCGCCCGCGCGCATTCTGGTTAGTTGGCAAGTTTGCACGCGCGCGCGGACGCGGTCGCGCGCCCGCGCGCGCGCCCGCGCGCAGACATTACTTGCGCCGCGGCGACGACATCGGTCGCGCAGCGCAGAAGATTTTTTGCGCGTATTATTCCAGCGCGCTGACGTATTTCGCGCGGCGGCGCAGTGGCGGGGCCTCGCGGCCACATTAATTTAGGAATCCAAAAAGTGCGCTTGCAGTGTGAATGCGCGCAGCTTGAGTGCCTCGCTCGCGCGACGTGTTTTTTGTTGCTGGGGGAAGGGGGGGGGGGGGGGGGGGGGGGGGGGGGGGATTGGGGTCGATGCGGTTGCGCGTTGCGGACATGCGCATGCGATGTTTTATGCAGCATTGTTTGCCGTTTCAAGTTTAGGCGGTTAGCGCAATCCTTCTTGCGGGCGCGCGGTTGTTCTTGGTTCGGGGAACTTGGGCTCCGTCGATTCCAAGCGGTGCCCCCCCCCCAAAAAAAAAAAAAAACGCCAGAACAGCCCGCTCGGCATGCGCAGCGACACCCATCCCCAAAACACGACATACACTTTGTGAATGACAGAAACTTTTTTTTTCCTGGTTGCAAGGGCATTTATGCTTGCATTCCTGCGGGTTCTTGTCAGGATGTAGATTACTAGGTCTCACAGTATCTTATGATGATTCCTTACCACATATCAATATGTTATTTTGCTATATCTTAAGAGTGAGGGCGGGTATATATTAGATACATCTAAGTTCGCATGCTAAGCTAAGCGCTGGTAATCACTATAGTGCTTGCTGATCATCTAACAGCTGCGCCGCCCATCCAGGCAGTTCGGCGATTTCTCCCACCCCCCGCGCCACCGCGCACGCATTGCCCGTTCCTTCTTAAGGAAATCCGCCAAATGTCCAGGTGGTAGCGCGCGCATTGCGAGCGCTCTTTCGCTTTGGCGCACCCCCTCCGCAGCGTCTTTTCCCATCGGCAAAGCTCCCAAACGCTCCGCGGGCTGCCCGCGAAGGCGTCGGCGCGGCCCTCCGGGCGGCATAAACGTACGACGCGCACAGCGCGCGATTCACGTCAAGCACTGTTCGCGCTACGTCGCGCTGCAAAAGCAGCGCGCGTTGCGCGGGCAGTTCGCAACAGCACGCGCGCGCAAAGCAAGCCGGCGCCCGCGCACGCGAACGAATTGCGCACATCCTTGTTTTTTGGTCAAGGTCGCACGTGCGCGCGCAGGCGGTCGCGCTCCCGCGCGCAGATATTTCCAGCGTCGCGGCGACGACATTGCTTACGCGGCGCAAAGCAATTTGGCATTTAATATTTCAGCGCGTTGACATATTCCACGCTGCGGCGCAGTGGCGGGACATCGCGCGGCCGCCTTAATTTAGGAATTTGGAATTTCCGCTTGCGGCGTGAATGTGCGTGGGTTGAGTGTTTCGCTCGCGCGCCATTTTTTTCGGGGGGGGGCGCAAGCTTCGGCTTGCGACGATTGCGCGTTGCGAACATGCACATGTGATGTTTTATGCAGAATTCTGCCCCGTTGAAAGTTTAGGCGGTCAACGCAATTTTTATCACGGGCGCGGTTGTTGTTGATTCGGGGAACTTGGGTTTCGTCGATTACGAGTCATACAGAGCGCAAGAAAATAAACAACTCGCGCTTGACATGTGCAACGACACCCATCCCAAAACAAACATGCAATTTGGCAATGCTAGAAGCGTTTGTTTTTCGGGTTGCGTGGGCATTCATGGTTGCACTCCTGCAGCTTTCAATCCAGATCTATCTTCATATATCTGACCAAACATCACGATTACATCTTAGCATAACGCAGATGATGGATTGCTCTATGTTAAGACCTAGGGCGGCAACATTTTAGATGTATCTAAGTTCGCATCTCATTTAAGTACTGGCAATCACCATAGTGCATGCTGATCATCTAACATCTGCGCCGCCCATCCAGGTAGGCCCGCTGGGGCGGCGGATAATTGTGCCGGGTGCCATTGCCCGGCGGAGAACATACTGCCGACGCCCGCGCCAGTCACATGCGTGCCGACGCCCACGATTCCCGCTGTTTGTGGCAACCAGGTCGTGGAGGCTGGAGAGGAGTGCGAATGCGCAGGTGGCGCCACCTCGTGCAGCTTCTGCGAGAACTGCGTCCTGCAGGCGGGCAAGGATTGCAGCCCCGACTCGGCCTCTGGTGGGGCCTGCTGTAACTGCGATGGCACCTTCAAGACCCCCTCGGACACGTGCGATACGACTGGCGGCCCAGGCTATTGCGACCGGGGTGTGTGCCGAAACACCGTCTGCCACACTTACGCTGAGTTATTCGACGACTTCTGCGGCCTTCACGCGGACAACGACTGCAAGTATGGTTGCATGCGGAATGGCCAATGCGATTCTTTGAAAAGCACTACGATCCATGGTGTGCCAGCGGATAACATGGTGAAGGACGGAGCCAGTTGCGATGGCGGCAACGGGGTCTGCCAGAGCGGCGTCTGCTCGAGCCAGCCCGCTGGATGCACAGGGCCGATAGCAACGGGCGACACCACTACATGCGACGACTGGTACGGACAGGTTACGTGCACTGAGCTCGAGAGTTGGGGTTGCAATTGTGACGGTTGCACATGTTCGGCGCCGACGCCGAGGCCGACGCCCGCGCCAGTCACATGCGTGCCGACTGGCCCGACGCCCAGCCCGACTCCCAGCCCGACGCCCAGCCCGACGCCGAGCCCGACTCCGAGCTCGACGCCCAGCCCCACATCGAGCCCGACGCCCAGCCCGACGCCGAGCCCGTCGCCCAGCCCGACGCCCAGCCCGACGCCCAGCCCGACGCCCAGCCCGACGCCCAGCCCGACGCCCAGCCCGACGCCCAGCCCGACTCCCAGCCCGACGCCCAGCCCGACACCGGCAGTTGGGGGGCCTGCAACGGGGGGCGGGGGCGTGCACGCCACCGGCGACCCGCACCTGGTCAACGTGTACGGGCAGCACTTCGACATCCTGCGGCCGGGCGTGCACGTGCTGCTCCAGGTTCGGTGCGATCGAAGTGGGTACTGAAAGGACGGGGGCGACACTTGCTCCACCATTTTGAGCAGGACTCGCTGTCGGTATCGCCGCGGACGCCGGTCGAACGACGAAGAAACGCCATAAACGTAAAATGTTTACGCTCCGCTCGGAATTCTCGGATCCGCGCCTGGGGCTCCCCCAGCGGCGCCTCCGGTGCCGCCCCTGGCGCGCTCCGCGCGCCACGGAGGGGCGTCCCGCGCAGATCCAAGAGAGCCGCGCGGACCTCCGACAGTCTATGCTTGTGCTGTGTTTTTTTTTTGGGGGGGGGCATTTTTATTACTATTGAAAGGACGGGGGCGACACCTGCTCAACACCATTTTGAGCAGGGCTCACCGTCGGTATCGCCGCGGATGTTGTGTCCACTCGGCAGGACGGCGTCTGCCCCGCAGCGGCCGCCCGTCGGACCGTGGGCCGCGTCCGCTGCGGGCCGCGTCCGCCGGCAGGTCCCGCGCGGGGCGGCGCCGAACGCCACGAAGCTGCGCGTGCAGGCGCAGGCCGTGCAGATGGGCGCCTCGTGCGCGGAGATGTACTTCCAGGTTTACAAGTCTTCTGTCGGGCGTGTCCCACTGCAGGGGGATTTTCGAGCAAAAATAAAAAATGCCCCAAACATGCCCCAAAATATTCAGAAAATAGTCCCCAGACTGTCTGTGGACTATTTTTTTATTATTTTTGGTGTATTCTCTATTTTTCGTCGAACATCCCCCAGTAGGGGGACAGGCCCGACTTAATTTAAGTCTGGCATGTCCTTAGTGGGCCCTGGAAACAACAGGGCCGTTTTTTCACCAGTTCCGTTCTGCCGTTTTGTTTTGCTGGTTCCGACGCCGTTTTTTTACTGGTACCGTCGCCGTTCTTTTACGAGTTTCCGCTCCAGTTCCAATCCTGGAGCCGTTTTTGTTGCCGTTTCCGGTCGCCGTTTTTTTGCGGCTTCCATTTTCAAGGGACATTTTTTGGAAACGGTGGAAAATCGGCCCTGCCGTTTCAGGGGCCCACAGGAGGAATAGTCAAGAATAGTCCAAGCATAGTCTGGGCTGGGGACTGTTTTTGAGCATTCTCGGAGTATGCTTGGTCTTTCGTCCAAAGTCCCCCCGTAGGGGGACATGCCCGACCTCAATCCAGGTCCTCAACGTGACGGGCGAGTGGGTCGAGGACTAGGGAATCGTATTAGGGGAACAAACAAAGACGCAAACATAAAAACTCGGAGGTCCGCGCGGATTCCTCGGATCCGCGCTGGACCCCCCCCCCGGCGGCGCCTCCGGCGCCGCCTCTGGCGCGCTCCATACGCCAGGGAGGGGGGTCCAGCGCGGATCCCAGAAATCCGCGCGAAGCGCCAAACGTTTATGTTTATGCGGTTTGTTCTTCTTCTAAATACGTTTTGCATGACGTGACGGCCCTGCCAGCAAGATGTATAGTGAGTTCCAGTGGTGTGTGTGTGCGTCTGTGTGTGTGTGTGTGCGTGTGTGTGTGTGTGTGTGTGTGTGTGAGTGAAGGTGTGTGTGTGTGCGTGAGGGGGAGGAGGAGGAGGAGGAGGAGGAGGAGCAGGAGCAGGAGCAGGAGCAGGAGGAAGAGGGGGGAGGAGGTAAAGGAGGAGGAGGAGGAGGAGGAGGAGGAGGAGATGGGGGAGGAGGAGCCCCCGCGCCGTTGGGGCCGCCGTGCGTGCGTGCGTGCGTGCGTGCGTGTGTGTGTGTGTGCGTGTGTGCGTGCGTGCGTGCGTGCGTGTGTGTGTGTGTGTGTGTGTGTGTGTGTTTGTTATCACGCGCTGCTTGCAGGACGTCTCCTGGGAAAGTCCGAGTCCGGTGCATGCTCCGTTCGCTGTGTCGGCCTCAGGTCGGGGCCACCCGACCGTGGGCGCGTCGTTGCAAGCACGTCGGGCCTCCGCTGAGCAGGGCATTCGCGCAAATGCCAGCCAGCGCGGGCCCCAAGCAGTAAGGACATGCCATGGAGGTGAAACCTATGTTGAGTAAGCTGTGTCGCCATGCCGTTCGACGCCAACGTCGTCGTCGTCATCATCGCCATCGTCATCGTCGTCGTCGTCGTCGTCGTCGTCGTGTGTGTGTGTGTGTGTGTGTGTGCAGGTGTGCATGTGTGCATGTGCGCAGGTGTATGTGTATGCTTCTCCACGCCGCGCGAGCAGGATCGGCCCGCGCGCTCGTCCGGCCTGCTCTGCTCCACGCTGCCGCCAGACGTCGGAGCCCCGATTCAGCAGGGGTAGCTCAGGTCAGGGCTAACACTCAAGCAGTGGCGAAGCGTCCTGGCTCGCCTATGGACTACCAAACAATGTTCTGAGAACCCTTTGTGGTTTCCACGAAATGTTCTTTGAACATTTCTGGTTGATATTGTGTTGTTTGAAACATCGGGCTTATGTTCTAAGACCATTGTTTTCGTTTAAGAGCATTTTTAGGTTCTAAGAACATTTCGCGGTAGGACTATAGAAATGCCGGGACGGTCGGTCCCTGCTCAAAACACGGGTTCGCTTTTCGGGAACCCGAACCCGAGTTACCCCAGGCACGAGTTTCCCCGGATCATTCGGGCGTCCAGAGTCCCGGATCATCAGGGATAACTCGGGTCAGGGTTCGTTTTTCGGGGAGTCCAGACCCGAGTTACCCTGGGCCTGAGTTACTTGGATATTTCGGGCGCCCAAAGACGTGTGTGAGTCAATGCGCTCGTGCTTGTGTGTGCGTTTGTCGGCCGCGAAACACGGGCCGAGGTGTCTTCGTGTGTCCCTGGGCCCCTCCTCCGTGGCTCTGCCCACCTCCGACCGACGCGCGCAGAACCCAGCCATGCGACGCCCCGATGTTTTCAGCACGGCGTCCCCGGAAGCCCAGACCCCTTTCCCAGGGGCCGGTTTTTCGTCCTGTGCCGTTTCTTGATGGTCCTGAGGCCTGGCGAGGGCCCCCCCGAGGCCGAAGACGGTGAAAAGCCACCCGTTCTGACGTTTGCGACGCGATCGTGTCTGGGGTTTTTGCCTTCTCCGAGGACGGGCTGCGCCCCGGAGGCCCCTACGCGGCGGCCGGCGCCCCCGGGGCCTTGCCAGGCCCTGGCGGCTGGGGCGGCCCGCGGGTGTCGAGAAATGCGGTGCGGGCTCGGCTTCGCGCAGGAGTGACCCTTTTTTTTTTTTTTGGTTCGCCGGAGTGACCATACTCGGGGGTTGCTCCGGAGCAGGAGGGGAGGAGGAGGAGAAGGAGGAGTAGGAGGACTAGAGCAGCGGGGGGGAGCAGGAGGAGGGGGCAGGAGGAAGATGCGGAGGGGTGGAGAGGAGGAAGGAGGAGGAGGAGGAGGAGGAGGAGGAGTGGAGGAGGAGGAGAGGAGCGGAGGAGGAGGAGAAGGAGGAGGAGAAGGAGGAGAAGGAGGAGGAGGAGGAGGTGGAGGAGGAGGAAGGGGAGGAAGAGCAAGGGGAGGAGGAGGAGGAGGAGGAGGAGGAGGTGGAGGAGGAGGAGGAGGAGGAGGCGGAGGGGGAGGAGGAGGAGGAGGTGGAGGAGGAGGAGGAGGTGGAGCAGGAGGAGGAGGAATAATAATCAGAAGACGGATCAGACGAATACTGATACTAATATTTATAATGCTGTTGATAACCACACTAAGCACTAGCAAGCTAATACTCATAATGTATTAATAACAGCACCAAACACTAACACCTATTACTACATATATTGTAATGATATTAATACCACTAACAAGACTACCACTACTATTACTAATAATAACAATAATGCGACCCCTACTACCATCACTACTACTAATCATACCAATAGTAATACTACGATCAATACGGATACTGATAGTGATGCTGTCAATATGGACACTAATACTAAGACCTGTCATAGTAATAATATTCGTTATACTAGGACGCATACGAATAATCATACTACCAAGACGAATACGAAGAAGACAACACAGAAGAAGCAGGCGACGAAGAGGATGAGGTGGAGGAGCATGAGGATGAGGATGAGGAGGAGGAGGAGGAAGAGGAGGAGGAGGGGGAGGGGGG